AGGCGATTGAACGTCGCCGGGGCGTTAGACAAGCCCTGCGGCATGACGAGCCACTCCCAAAGCATGCCGCTTGGAGTGCTTACCGCGGTGAGCGGGATGTCACTCCCTCGCATCAGGATTTGGTAGTATCCGTCTACCAAATCCAGCGCCCTGTACAGTACGCTCCCGGCCATGTTGCTCAACAACACATCCTTTCGTGGGATCGGTGTTTGGGCCGGCACCGTTGCGTTGCTCAGCTTGTTATAAGCGTGAACCAGACGCCACTTTCCGTTCGGCTTCCTAGCGCAGAAAGTCGGCGTCGAGTGCGGGGATTTCGATTCCCGCACCATGCCTGCCTTCGCTTTCGCGGCGAAGAAGGCATCAATGACCTCGCACTGTTCGCGCGGGAGAGGCCATTGCCTTGTGACACAATACTTTGTGCCGGGCACGAGATCAATCTCGTGCCGTACGCCTCGATCCGGTGAGAGTTGGGTCGGTGGGTGTTTGTTCACCACGTCCGCATACTCCGTCACCAAAGGATACACTGGATCCTTGAGGTTCTTGAGAATCTCAGAACCCAAGCGCGCCTGACGCTGCTTGTTCATGTCTTCCAGGACGTTCTCGTCCAAGACAGAGGAGGAGTTCAGCTCCTCCTGAGTGGTCTCAGGTCTCATGAGTACCATCTCAGCAATCTCTCCAGCCTTGAGGTTGGCCAGGAAAGACTCATCCGTCATTTCCTCGAGGTTCAGTATCTCCGCAACCTCTGGCAACGGTTCCAAGTGGACACCAGATGCCTTGACGGGTAAACCTGTCTCGCCATCAAAGATGTGATAACACTCTTCCACCGGCCTTGTCGGAGGAGCCCGGGCCCTGGGCTCCGAGTCGCTTGAAGCGACGTCGATCGGAACGAAGTTCGGATCCGACTCGAGGCAGCGGCGGTGTCTTTGCCGACGGCGTCTGTGACGGGGAGCTTTGCTGCCCACGTCTAGGCTTGTCGTCGCTACGACATCCGAGGCACTCGTGGCCTCGTGTGATACTGTTGTACCCACACAGGTAGCGTGTTCAACGCCTTCCTCTTCAGTTAAGGTCTGGGCGACCGCGTGTGGCACTGTGTTACCCACACAGGAAGCGTATCCGACGTCTTCCTCTTCAGTTAAGGTTTGGGCGACCGTGAGTGGAACTCTGTTACCCACTCTGAACACGCTGTTCTCAGTGTTCATGACAGCTGCAGCTGTCTGCGGAACTAAGGAACCCGCCTGTGGACCTAAGCTACCCACTTGGCCAGCGCCTCTTCTGGGCGCGGCCACCATCAAAACATCCTCGGAGTCGTCATATACGTCGACGACTCCCAAGCATCCGCCGGATGCTTTGGTACCCTGGCAGCCATCGCGGGCGCCCCGGGTCCTGACAGAGGTGGGAACATGACTCACCAATGCTCTGTCGGACTGCGCAGGCGGCTGGCACCGATTGCCTTGCCTCGCCAGTCGATCCAGGGCTCGTGCTTCTCAAGCCAGGGCATGCCCAGGATCATATCATATGGATCCATATCGAGAACAGTGAACTGTTCGAGGCTGTCAAAGTCTTCAAACTTGACAGCCAGATCCACTTGGACGTTGGAAACAGTGATGACCTTCCCGTCGGCCAGTCGCACTGACACCGTCCCGTTGCCTTTGCTTTCTCTCAAAGCTTCGGACAACTTGTTGCTGTTACGAGCAACCGTCTGGCGGCGTGCGAAATTCTTCGACGCCCCAGAGTCAAACAAGATTCTAAAGGGATGATCGTATCCCCGTACACATCCGTGTACTACGAGCAACCCGCCGCTGCTCTTCGCCGATTCGAGAGTGCGAAGACTCTCAGGGGCTAAGTCCCCGTGGTACGCTCCACCCGCGCACCCATCACGAAGCCTTAGTTCTTCCCCAGTAGGGCGCCCCGCCCCTACTGGTTCCCTGCGTTCCCCTATCCCCGGGATCCTGGCTTCTGCCAGCGACCCTTGAGGACGGGCTTGGGGAAGGACCGTCTGCGGAGTCTTTCCGCGGGACAGTCGCGCTTGAAGTGGCCCATCTTCCCACAGCCGAAGCAGCGGATGTCACGCTGTTCGGCGGACCCGAGTTCCATGGGAACTGGTCCGTTGGGGCTTGTTCGACCGGGAGCCGACAAGGAACTCCCAGGCCACGCTGAGGCCCTGGCGATGGCTGTACTCTTCTTGAAGAGCCACTTGAATCGCCTCTTCAAGCGTGCTCGCCTGCATTCGGAACAGCTGAGTGCGTGCGGGGCCCACTCGAAGGCCGTCCATGAACACAGTCATCTTGATGTGTTCATTGAGTGGGTTTCCCACTAGGGACGCCGTGAGCTCCCGTATCTCTTGCACATACTCGTGCAGTTCGCGCCTTCCTTGTTTACACGCGAGGAAGCGCGAACGCTGGCGGTACTCGTAGCTCGCCGGGAGGAACGCGGCTCGGAGCTGTTCGCACAGCTGAGCCCAGGATGTGAAACATCCAGGGGATGTTGCTTCCCGAGTGTACACCCAACTCTTAGCACGACCGCTAAGGTTGGAGAGTGCAAAAGCAACACGCAGTTGCTCGGTCGAGATCAGAGCCGCGTCCATCGCGAGCTCTACTTCTCGGACCCAGAAGTGAAGGTTCTCGCCTTCCTTCCCTTCATACGGCTTTACCTTCAGCCGTATTGGCTTCGGGTGAGGCGGATTTGCTTCCGCCGCCGGAGCCTGCAGGTTCTCCCGCACATGCGCGATGAGGCCCTGCTCGTACGCGTCGAATGCATTGACGCGCTCGAGCTGCTCAGCCGGTGTTGACACCACCAGGCTCTGCAGGGCCTCCATCCCGAAGATGCCTGCCATCTTCCGAACCGACTCGAACTAAGAGTCGTTCAAATGGGAGAAGTCGTTCCTATCCATGGCAACGAACTTCGGAGGTTCAGGTAGTCTACTTGCGATGGCGTGGATTGACTACAAGTGCTACCAAGTGTGACGGGGTCACACAGCACCTTGCGCAAGAGGAAGTTATCTTCCGAGAGTATACAAACTCTCAGTGAACGGCAGTTCACAGGTCCCCTCTTTTATTAAAGAGAGCGAAGTGACCCAAATAAGGTAGATTGTAAACTGAGTATATTTATAGGTAAATTAAGTTTGGGTTTAATACAAACTGTTAGTTACCTATAGAAATGCAATGTCATTTAACCAATGGTTGGCTTTGAACGACCTTGGTACCTTGTACCAAATATCTCGGAGTATGACGTGTCATACTCCTGAAGTGTGAAGTGTCACACTTCATGTAACCAGGGTACACTTAGGGCTTCGTACCCCGTTACAACATGTTTGACACAGCCTCACTGCGAGCGATGATATTACTACAATATAATAAACGCTGCAGCCTCGTTAGATAGTACGAAATACATGTCGTTTCAAGCAGTGCCGTGTCTACAATTTCATTTCCAAAAATAACGACGATGCTGGTATTCAGAATCTCAATGAGTAGCAAAGGTCGACAAGGAGTTTCTCTATTTGATTTTACTGGAAACTTGTAAGCACGTTACCCATGACCCCAATGGACAAACGTTCATACATTCGGACTACAACTGACCCCAGTGGACAAACGTTCATACATTCGGACTGCAATTGACCCCAGTGGATAAACGCTCAAATATTCGGACTACAATCGTTAGAAGCTTCAACAAACTCATTGACAATACATGTACCATAGGTCTAGCAAGGACACGTTGATCCAGTAATTCACCCGTTCAGTCCGAGCGAAGATTGCGTCGGTACGTCTGACCAGCACCAATTGGCCCGGCTCCTCCTGTGGTTCCAGTCCCGGCCATTCCCGTGGTACCAGGGCCTCCCGTGGCACCAGGTCCTCCCGTGGCCCCGGTCGCCCCAGTTGCAGTCGTCGTCGCCCCTGCTGCCCCAGTTCCAGGCGTTGTAGCTCCAGTTCCCATACCCATGGCACCTATGCTAGGTGCATGAACCGTGCCTGGACCGCTCATGCCTGCTCCGGTGTTAGTAGTCGTCTTGCTGGAGCCACCACCCATACCACTCATTCCTGGAATCATGTTGGTGAGACTCGACAGACCTCCCCCACTTGTGCCTGAGGTACCACCGCCCATGCCTCCCATGCCGGGGATCATCTTCGTGAGACTAGAGAGACCACCACCCATGCCTCCCATGCCACCACCCATGCCTGGAAACCCGCCGCCGAACATACCGTAGGTTTGAGCTGATTGTTCTTCTGCCTGCACTCTGCTCGAAACTACCGCGACGGCCACGAACAGTGTGAAGATCTTGCTACTGCTGATCATTGTTGAAGGAGATAGTTCCTGGTGCGAAGCGAGAGGGAACGAAAAAAAAACTTGCTGGGTCTAGTTGACGGCAAATTCAGAAATGAGCGAATGCCGTATAACTCGGTGTTGGAAAGCAGGGAGGCTTCGCCAGAGTGATACCAATGATGTCAATAGTAGCATCCGATAGATTGGCTGTCAACCGTCAATTTAACGCGTATAGGCGCTGGTGCGCAAGTATTCACTACCCCAGTTGATGTGGCCGTGAACGGCACGAGTACTGGTATCAAGTGAGCAGATTGAATAAATCGATGCTTGAGAGCCACCCAACAACGGACAAATCACCCTTGCAGCTCAAACAGACATACACGAGGCTATCTTGTCGGAACGCATGATCGGGAATTGACTTCAACTTTAGGCATACAAATGCTAGTATAAATGACGGAGTCACTGACTGTCAGCAACACGCGCAGCCTTTATAATACACCTTTGTCGACGGCGTCATACGCGTGTAGGGCTATCGGTATACACAAGTCCAATGCTGTGGCGTAAGATGGACCAGAAGTAATTGATGCCCGATAGTGTCTGCACGCAAACACGGTAGCTAGAGACTTCGTTGGTGTTGAGCCACAATTGGCTCACTCGGGTAGCCCTACTAGCTGGTATCAAGACGCTGTCGGTCTGCATTACCCACACCGACCAAAGAAATGAGACCACGGAGGCAGATAAGAATGCGTAAAGTACACGAGCCAACTGTGGCGCAAAGATCGCCCGTTGCGGAGACCGTAAGCATCAATCGAACAGCGTGAACCACGTACGTGTAGCGTAGATCTCACAGCTGTAACGCAGTGGTGTTAGCCCAGCTTACGGACACTGACAGTCATGGCATCTAATTTGATTCGTAAATCTATGGAGCATAGCCTGGTCCATGTTGTCTTCGAGAATGCACTCCTGTATCGCTGTCAGATGAGGTTCTCCTCGGCAAACTGTATTCAAGGCCCGCGAAGGCTGCTAACTCTGTGTACAGCATCGCTTCTCGCTCAAACGCGCTGCAACTTGCTGTCCATTCTCGAATTCACCACTTCGAGCTCAACTAATTCTTCAAGAGCAAGCTCTCTGTTCCTCCCACCGGACCAAGTCTCCATCTCCAGCAATCATGTTCAGCAACAACAAGATCTTCGCACTTTGCATCGCCGTCGTGGCTCTTTCGAGCCATGTGCAGGCCGAGAAGCAAGTGGCCGAGACGTTTGGACTACTCGGTGTACCTGGTGTCGGTGTCGGTGTTCCCGGTGTCGCTAGCGTCGGAGTGGGTGGCCCCGGTTACGTTGGACCAGGTGTTGGTGTCGGCGTCCCGGGCGTTGCTAGCGTTGGTGTCGGTGTGGGTGTAAACGGCGTTGGTGTCGGTGTGCCTGGTGTCGGTGTAGGTGTAAACGGCGTTGGTGTTGGCGTGAATGGTGTCGGCGTTGGGGTGGGTGTTCCGGGTGTCGCTAGCGTGGGTGTGGGTGCTTCCCCTGTAGTCGGAGTGAACGGTGTTCATGTTGGTGCACCTGAGACCGTTGTCCACGACGGTGTCGACGTCGGTGCTGGGACTGGGACTGGAGTGAGCAGGACTGTGACTGTGACGAGTGACGACGGTGCCAACACGGCGAAGCCGTCTACCACCACGGGTGGTGCGTCGGCGAGCGCCACTGCCAGCGCTTCTGCGAACACGAACTCGAACGCAATGACGAATGCTGGCGCAAAGGCCGGAACCGGCGCAACATCTCAGAAGTCCTACCGCAAGCTTCGGTCGGAGCAGTGATTGCGGCGGAGCTAGGAGTTATTCATCTTTCGTTTGGGTTGGGTGACTTTCCGTGCAGGACTTCCTTGTCGGGTTGTACAATGTAGTGTAAGGTCGTCGTTATTAGCAAAAAAAAATGACAACTCAGGCTTTGTTTACCAAATTAAAGTGTTGCTAGCGTGGCACCCTTTTTTCTTTCACTCATTGGATATTCGAGAAACTACACAGTATAAGAACTTACAATTTTATCTGAAGGGAGCTCATGAGATTTGAATTCGTAGATGTGAAAGCATTTTAGAATAAATACTTGTTTTAAAATAAGCCGAGGATAGGTAAACAGTCACCCTTTAATAGCAGGCATCGGTCAGATGATGGAATTGATCTGTCGATTGGGTTTTATCCCTATTCCTAGGCATCGGTAAGATACTACTTCGTATTATTACGGTAGATAGCGGCCCAACATTACAAACACTTCGAACGGCAACAAAGAGGTTGGTGCCTGCCACAACGCAATGCCACTGTCTGCTCGTATGTTCCTTCTCACGAATGTAATGGCTGTTGTTAAAGTAGTCGGCCTGTCGGATAAGAAATGTCAAACTCTGCCAGATGGCTCACATTAGGCGAGCTACCCAGCCAACTCGCCTTTGCCATGCCCGCAATCACAAGTACGAACGATAAAACTCGATTCTGAAAACCACGCACACCCACAGATTTTTTTTTCACAAAGTACTTCGAGCTCCCCCTCCAGGCGATTTCTGTCATGCTGGTCGGCGGGCTGGTCGGTAACTTCTTGCTGTGCAGTACGCAGGCAGGTTCCTCAATGTCATCCGCTTCTATCGCCTCTGTCGTTCCGTGCGGTGCGCCAGTCGTGTTGGTTCATTCTCAATTATTCCCTGTATCTCACAGAACATCGTTGCACTGCGAGTAGACACAAGATCGCATCACGACCCTCTCTTCACTAAACGACGCTTTCGCTTCGAGTCCTCAATAATGTTCGGCAGTAACAAGTTTCTCTTGCTGGTTGTCGGTATTGCGGCCGTCTCAAGTGACACTCACGCCGAACAAGAGGTGGCCGAAACCTACGGTGGTGGCGGTGGTCTCCCCGGTATAACTCATACTATGAGCGGCGGGCTTCCCGGCATGAGCGGTGGTGGTCTGTCTGACCTCACCAAGATGATGCCCGGTATGGGTGGGACGGGTACCGGAACCAGCGGCGGGCTTCCCGGAATGAGTGGTGGTCTATCAAGCCTCACCAAAATGATGCCTGGTGGCGGCGGAACTGGAATGAGCGGTGGTTTGCCTGGAATGGGTGGCGGTCTGTCGGGTCTCAGCAAAATGATCCCTGGTGCCAGCAGTACTGGAGGTGGTCTTCCGAGTTTGAGCAACAGGATCCCTGGAATGGGCGGGGCGGAAACTAGCGGCGGCCTCTCTGGATTGAGCAACATGATCCCGGGCGCCGGAGGCAGTACGTCATACGTACCAGGAACTGTTCATGCACCGGGCACCGGCACTGGCGTTTCTGGAACGACGGGTACCGGGGTCGGTGCTACCGGCACAACTACGCCTGGCACTCCAGCGAGCGGTACAACAGGTTCTGCTAAAACTGCCAGCTCGTCGGCCGGCACTGCTCCCGACATGACAAGTACCGAACCGGAACCGGTGGGACGGGTGCGAGTGGAACACCGTCAACAAGGACGTACCGCAGTCTACGCTCTGTATAGTTGGGTGAAGTGAACTTCTTCGTGCGGATTTTGTCATGGGTGGAAGCCACCAGTTCCTTATCGTTACAATGCGAAAAAAATTATTTTTGCCATTCGAGTCTGCTAAAAAATGCAGTTGTCATGGCTTTGCTTCTGACAAAATGTATATACTACCCACATCGTATACCGAATTATCGTAGTCCTAGGGGACGCTTACTCCTAAGGGTCACCAACGAACCAACCAATCGGATCCTTCGATTGTAATACAGATGGCTCCATTACTTACGATAAGGTTCATTCTAATTTTACTTCGGCGGAACGGAGCCCAACACCACAAAGAAAACGGAAGGCCGTCGAAAAGTATGGTTCGCCCTCGCATCAATGGACCAGGAAAGAAGCGGAAGACCTATCAACGTAGGGCAGTAGAGTATGCGCATAAGAGAGACGTCCTCGACTACATTGACAGCGGTCACAGCCTTGACGAGACAATTTCACAGTTCTACGGCAACTTAAGTGGCTCCGACATTCGTGCTAAGAAAAAACAAAATTCACAAGTGGAGCAAGCAGGCTCCAACTATACGTGCTGCATGTGATTCTGGGCGGGGGTGCCACCGAAATCTGCGCGGACTTGGTGAAGCGACTGTGCTCACCAAGGAGGCTGAACGCGCTATCGTAGTGTGGGTGAATTTTCGCTGCGGAAAGATGGTGCCCCTGTCTCCCGTCTCATGCTTCAACTGCAGGCAAAAGAAGCAGCTGCAGACATTGGCCTTGAAGGCAAATTTGCAGCCACATCAACATGGGTTAAGCTATTTCTTCGTCGCCATAAATTAGCGCTCCGTGCACGTACCAGGCAGGGACAGACGACGCCACAGGATGCTCAAGATGCAGCTACGACATTTCGAGCGCTGGTGCTGCAGACAATCGTCGAAAAGAAGTGTGTACAAGTATTCAATGCTGATCAGACGGGTAATATTTTTTTATTTTAGTTTTAAAATATTTTTAATGACTTTTCTTCTTGTATGTGTGAATTTTAAGTATTTACCAAAACAAACCATATCTCAACGTGGAGTGAAAACTGTTGGGTAAAATGTGCAAATAAAGAAAAGGCTCGAGCTACAGCTATGCTTTTGGCGGACTGGGAAGGCACAAAATTGGCTCCATTCATAGTGTTCGAGTGTCAACCGTCAAAAATTAAGGAAAAAAGGGAAGAGAACCACACTCTGCGCCATGGGTTTAGCCCGACTATGTGGACCCGTGAGATTAATCCACTTCAAGAGCGCTACAATTGTCAAATTTACGGGAACCAGTGCGCATGGTGGAATTCTGATTTGTTTCTGAGATTTCTCAAATATCACTTTGCTGAGCGCACGAACCGAGATGACCACATTTTACTCATATGGGACGATTTCAGCGGGCATTGGACCCCTGAAGTTGAAGAATATGCAGCGTCTATTAACGTTATCCTACTTAAAGTACCACGTACGTATGCCAACCGGCAGATATTTTGTGGAAATACCAACACTTTTTTTAAAGCCATGGGCTAAATTATACCCTTGGTTACCGGTACCGAATTATCGTAGTCCTAGGCGTCACTTCAATAGCAAAGGATGCAAATCGTGAGCACCGACATATGAATGCAAATCATAGTTTTACCGAAGCATTCACTGCAAATTACTGTATTTAGCATTCGCTACCGCTATCACTACCGGTACCAGCTTCAGACTCTATATCATCGTCAGAGTCGACATGACCATCAGTTAAATTGCATTTTTCCAGCTCTTGGACAAGCTCGCTATCACTATGTCCCGGATATGAGTCAAAATCTTGCTCAGCACGGCGAGTATCAGCCAATATGTCTACTTTTGCAAATCCACTAACAATTGTCTTTTCTGAAAGCTCGTTCCAGCATTTTGATATCCACTCCGTAATGTCTTCTCTTTTTGGGGGCTCCAATTTAAAGGGCTCTTCTGTATGCTGTTTCCGAAGTCGCTCAACTTCAGACTCTGCTTCCTCTTGCACTAGATCCTTGCGCGCACGAATAATATCTCTCTGGAGTTTGTCCCTTTTCTCCTGGCGCTGCTTCTCCTTTGCTCGATACGCAACAAGTTGGTCTCTCAGCCGGTTGATCCACAGACCTCGCAACCTAGTTTTTAGGGGGTTATTCCACGAAATATCTGCCGGCTGGCATACGTACGTGTAACGCGGCGGTACTTTAAGTAGGATAACGTTAATAGACGCTGCATATTCTTCAACTTCAGGGGTCCAATGCCCGCTGAAATCGTCCCATATGAGTAAAATGCGGTCATCTCGGTTCGTGCGCTCAGCAAAGTGATATTTGAGAAATCTCAGAGACAAATCAGAATTCCACCATGCGCACTGGTTCCCGTAAATTTGACAATTGTAGCGCTCTTGAAGTGGATTAATCTCACGGGTCCACATAGTCGGGCTAAACCCATGGCCAGAGTGTGGTTCTCTTCCCTTTTTCATTAATTTTTGACGGTTGACACTTGTGTGGTGTTGGAATTCCCACGTGAACTCTAGCTACAAATGTAGTTAGGATGTTCCCACAACAATACGTCTACTAGGATAGTAAACGATCGTTCGGGCGGACCTGAAGACCCCAGTTCTGCCCTTGCACCGGGACAGACTGGACCTTGTAAACTACTTATATAGGCCAACCAGTAAAATAAGAACACGCTACTAGCACGAGCAAAGCTAGCAGGTGTTTTGAATCCTCGTGGTCCCAACAGCGTAAGGGTACCAGGCACGGGTAAGCCTTTTACGAGATCACCGAGTGTTCAACACTCGGCTGGAAGAAATAAAGGGGAGGCAATTAAAGCACTCCCAGTCGTGCAAATAGGCAACAATAAGCCGTCACGTAAAACCTCCCGATAATAATCGGCCAATACACAAAGTCTCTTGGCCTTGCCGGATGAACCCTCGCTACAGAGCTTCGAGTTCACCGACAGGCATAACACACTCAAACAAGCTTGACCTGACGCTTACCTTGAAGCCGGACGTCGCTCTGTGTGCTTGAGTGGAAATTCTGTTCCGTATTTAAGCTTACCCTTTCGGGTCTATTCCTAATAAGAAGTCCTAATCAAGTATACAAATATCAAGTGAACAATGATCCGTTATGGATCTTCTTGCATGCCAAGCGTCGTCTGCACCGTCGCATGAGCATCTTTAACGGTCCGCGCCCTGTCCCAGACGGTGAACGTGTCTTCCAAAGGTCGCTGAGTATTCCGCGAACTCATCCCAACCGCCACTGAGGGTTCGTACCGTATATGGTCCGCTGAATGCGAATCCGGCCAGTCCATTATTAATAATAAGGACAGCCTGGATTCAGTGACATAGGACCGTATCCGATACTTGTTGAAAACTCGGAGGTGACGCCGTCGAGTCCCTTGCACCTTGGCGTCTCCGTACATCACCTGACCGAGGGTTCGTCGCTTGAACAACTTGGGCGGTGTCACGTCTTTGTCGACGGGTGATAATCCGCAACTACGGAGAAATCACTTTACCACAACTGCCCATGTCGCAATGGAAGCCACGGTACTGGTGCCCGTTTTGACATTTCTTCATTCTTCAATTCACCATCTCGCCACCGTATGTCCAAGCGTCTGAATCGAGCCGTGTCCGACGCTTTTCAGCGTCTCAATCCTCGTAGACGTCGCGAACGTGAGCAGCTGGAGGTACGTCAGCTCATCCTTCTCTTGAATCATCGGCACCTTGCTCATCACCTCGCATTACTCGACTTGTTTCTCAGGAGGGCAAGACCGAGGGTTCGAACGTCCCTCAGTCTGCTACACTTCCTCCGGCAGCGGCGTCATCAACTGGTCCTTCGGCGCTTCCTGCCCCAGACTCTTCACTCCCTGCGGTAGCTCCTGCAGCACTCCCCGTCGTCGCTGAATCCGCGGAGATGGCTCCTGCTGCTCCTCCTGCCCCAGCTGGTGGTCCACCACCACTCACCGAAGATTCGCTGCGCGCCATGCTGGCTGAAAGTACGGAAGGCATCGGTCGATCACATGATGACCTCGATAATCCCGTACTTGACTGCAATGACTCGTCA